TTTTTTACCTTTAATTTTTTACCTTTAATTTTTAATTGCTTTTTATCTTGTCTGTAAGCCGCCCAGAGTCCCAAGGGAGTGGGCGGCATACAAATTTTGTTAAATTTCAAATTATATTAACAAACACCCAGTCCCATTACACCAGTGTGAACATGTTACATATTGTGCCGGCCCTGCAAGTCCATAGTACTAGGTAGTTATGATGTTATTTTGCATTCAGGAGTCTGACAGCCCATGGGTAAAAACGGTTCTTCAGCCTGTTTGTGTGGCTGGCTATGCTTCTATATCTCCTTCCTGATGGTAGGAGGGTAAAGTGCTGACCAAGGTGTGAGTCGTCCCTGACTTGGTCCTCCAACATTTTTTCAAAAGGCTGCAGCTTAAAGAGAAAATAATGAACATTTCCTCTGCACTTTCCATTCTTCAGTTGGTAATTCATGATATTGATCAGTATTTCTGAATGAAATTCTTCGACAGACTCTTGAGATTCTGACTGTTGCACATTTGTGTATAATTTAAAGGTTTCTTAAGCGTCAAATGAGATTGTGATGTGTATAATTTAAAGGTTTCTTAAGCGTCAAATGAGATTGTGATGAAATACCCATTTGAGTGGTTATGCTTATTTAAAGTAAGGTACCATTGCTGATTGTAAAATTTTCCTTCTGCCAATATGATTCTCAGACAAATACTTGCTTATATATTGTATTAATTTTCACATTGACAGTTTTTTATTCAATTGTACACAATATAATATATTTCCTTTTCTGATAGCTGGTATTAAGATCTTCCTCTCTTTCAATTAGGTGTTGATGGATATGTTTCATCAAGATGTAGAGGATATTAGTACCCTGACGTTATCTGATGAAGAACCTTCCACATCAGGAGAACAAACCTATTACGATCTTGTAAAGTCATTCATGGCAGAAGTTCGACAATATATAAGGGAATTGAATCTCATAATAAAAGTTTTTAGAGAACCTTTTATTACCAATGCAAAATTATTTTCAGGGCATGTAAGTACCTTGAATTTATTTTTTATATATATTGTTAGCATTATTCAAGAAAAATATTTTATTAGAGTGCTAGATTAGGAAAAACCATAATGAGCATACCATCTAAAAATCAAGTGCATATGTGCTCTAAACATATATATGCTTTAAGAATATAATATAGCCACTTGAGCCCCAAATTCTGTTGACTATATACATATCTATAATATACTTTATTATATATGTATGCCAACTTTCTTCTAGAGTTAAGATCTAGTCATTAATTGAACTGTCTAAAAATTTGATAAAGCTTCTAGAATTCCTCGAGACAGACATAGAACTGAGGTGATCCTACTGACATTATTAAAAACATTTTGAACATACAAATATAAAAAAAAATCATCATTAAATGCTCTTGAATAACCTTCATATCATATCAGGACGTCTTTATAGAAAGACTATAAAGTAAAAACAACACCCTCCACACAAAAAAAACCCTGAAAAAAGACATTTTCAAATGAGAAAAGAAGTAGAGGAAAGGAAGAAGAGTTGTCTATGCTTGGTAGCAAATCGTGAATAATAATAAACTATTCAAGATAGTAACTAAGGTGGTAGACTGACTTCAAACAAAGGCATAACAAAATAGCAATAATGGTTCATTAGAATATCTGCAAGATACCACTTACCTGCAAGTAACTGGTGAGGCCACAAAATAGACAATACCGTACCATATTTTTCGGACTAAAAGATGCACTTTTTTGTCTCCCAAAAGGGGGTGAAAATGTCTGTGCATCTTATAGACAGAATATTGCCGAAGCCTCGCCCACCTAACAGACATTATTTTTGCCTCCACACGTCCCTTTTTCAGGCCTTTTTTTTTTTACTTTTTGCGGCCCACTTTGGAGGGTTTTTTTAACCTGTTTTTGAAGATTGGGGGGGGGGCTTTTTCAGCTTTTCTTGGCCCATTTTCAAGGATTTTTTCAGCCCGTTTTTGAGGCTTTTTTGGGCCATTCCCCCCCCCCCCAAAAAAATGGGCCAAAAAAGCCTCAAAAATGGACCAAGAAAATCCTTGAAAATGGGCCAAGAAAAGCTGAAAAAGCCCCCCCCCCAATCTTCAAAAACAGGTTAAAAAAACCCTCCAAAGTGGGCCGCAAAAAGTAAAAAAAAAAAGGCCTGAAAAAGGGACGTGTGGAGGCAAAAATAATGTCTGTTAGGTGGGCGAGGCTTCGGCAATATTCTGTCTATAAGATGCACAGACATTTTCACCCCCTTT